ATCAAACAGAAGTTGGAAAATAAGAATCACGAGGCTTTATGGATTTATGTCAGAAAACAGCCTGGCACTGAGCAAGTGAAAGATTATGACAAGTTAAAACCTCATTTTTCTTTCTTTTCTGCAAAAGAAAAAAAAAAGTAATCGTGCCGTTCTTTTGCAGAATCACTTTGCGTGGAGCCAGAGACCGCTCAGAGCCGAAGCGGTGGCTCTGCCGAGCGGTTTCGTGTTCCAAACGTGCATATGTTGCACAGAGTGTCTAATTATTCTTAGGGACAATTACTGTCAGGTTCCAAAATGTGCTCAATGAGCAGCAATTGGTGTTTATTCAGCTTTTAAAAGCCTGTGCAAGGGAACAGTGGGTTATATTGTCTGCCTGAAGAAGCACTTCGCCACCCGGAAACATCTGCCTTCTATTTAAAGCCGAGGCAAGGAATGGGAGTGTATTTCAGATATACTCCCTGAGCGTCGCACACCAAAGAAAGGGGGATGGAATTGGAGCTGAAGGTGGTTTCTGGGACCCACCCTGCTCTGCTGGTCCCAGATGGGAGGGGCCTGTGGCCTGGTGGGTGGGGAAGTCCCGATTCTGTTGACTTTGCTTACTCTGATGTGGGCACACATTGGACCTGACAGCAATGCCCTAGATACAGCGCTTGAACTTGCTCAGGTGAGGCTAAATGAGCTGTCAAAGTTGGGGTCTGTTTCTCTGAATTTCTCCGCTTCTTGTTGCTTGGCATTAGCGCGTGACCCTGAGTTCTCTATGCAGTAACCGTGTCCACTCCCGGCTGTCGGGAGGATACAGTGAGGCCATTGCCATCTGTGTGCTGTACTGTAAACTTTCTGTGAGGGACAGTGTCTTAGCTATCTATCTCGCTGAGTGAACACGCAGCAGCTTAAACAGACCAAATTCCTGTAGGGAAGAAATCTGGGTGTCCTTAGCTGGGTGCCATCCTGTGCCAGGGACTGTAATCAGGGATGGGCTGAAGTCTCACGGGAAGGCTTCATTGCTGAAAGATCTGGTTTGGAGCTTACATGGTTGTTGGCAGAATTCTGTCCTCTGGGGATATTGGACCAAGGGCCTCAGTTCTCTGTTTGCTGGCTGGAATCTTCTCGGTGTCTTACAGTGTGGGACTCCTAATATTCGGGAAAGCCAGCAAGGGCGAGTTAGTTGAAAACAAATTACAATCCTCTATAACTTAATCACACAGGTGACAACCTACCACCTTTGCTATATTCTGTTGGTTAACAGAAAGAGTCAGACTAAAATTCCAACCTGAAGTTTGAGGTAAGAGGATCCTTCACAAGTTGGAGGACCGTGGGAACTAAGAGGGACCCTGCCTAAAATCCCTGGGCCCCAGGAAGCAAGCAAAGGCGGAAACAAATGACATCCCACCTTCCTGTGAGGGGAAGCCATTACATTGGGAACAACACCAGAGACTGTCTACTGCCCACTGCTACTGTTTTAACTATTCTTACAGGACATGGTTAAGAGGGCATTAAAGTTCCCAGGCCTGCCGCTTACTGTGTGACCCAGGCAGGTCTCCTGGCCATTCTGAGTCTGTCTCCCCACCTGTACCTCGCTGTCTCCACAGGACTATTGTGATCCTAAATGAGAAAGCCCATATGCAGAATGCTAAGCAGTTGGGAAATGTCAGCGCCTGGCTGTTCTTTTCATCCTGGCCTCTTGAAATAACATTAGACTTTTTGAATATCAGAATAGCTCAGAGCTCCTCAGATTGGGTTATTCATGTGGAAATCCCAGGTGGCTTCCTGGGTATAGAGCTTCAGTTCCACTGGATGTGAAGGTCCAGGTCCCATCTGTCCCCAGCCCCCACTACATATACCCCCACCCGCATTTGCTGAGACCTTGGGGCCAAGGAATGCAGCTCTAGGACCTCAGTAGAACCGCAGTTTCTTGGTACAGCGAACCCTCTCAGAATGGGCCTGGTGAAGGTCCCAACAGTGTCCCTCCTGGGCCTCTTCCTGTAGAAGGCTGGCTATGGTGGTGACCATGGCTATGGGTATGTCTAGATGGACCCACCTCTGTATTTCTAGTTGAGGTTCTGAGGACAACTCAGGGCTTTCAGAGTCCAGGTCTCAGAGGGCAGATTTGGAGATGGGGCCTTTGGTCAGAGTGCCAAGTCATGCCAAGCAGACAGCAGGCTACCCTGGCTGTATGGAATCACAAGTTCTACCATCTCACCTCGCCTTCCAGTCTTTCTCCCCACATCTCGCTGTGATTGATGGCTGCACTTACCCGCTGCTGCGGACTTTAAGGCACATAGAAAGTACAGATAGAAAGCCACTGAGGGAACACAGTAGGCTGCCCCGCCTACCTTCTCCCCCTTCCTCCTCCTCTGATTGGGAGCCCCCACCCTCGCCTCCTTTCACCCCCCCCTCCCATCCTTTGCATCCACAGAATTGGTTCTTGGTCCCACTGTTGACCCCCAAAGTTGTAGGAGACCCTTCAGGAGTAGATGAGCCACCAGCAGTCAATTCTGTCATTCTAGGGGAGAGAGACTGGCTGTGGGGACCATGTACTCTATTGTATTTCAAGTCCTTGTAGTGTATAAGGAAAGCACTTTCCATAACAGCTACCTTGTTATAGGTGAGAGCTCAGGTCCTTTATTAGAGAGTCAGGTGCCAGGAGCTTGGGAACTAGTAATTTTAGTAAAAATGGTTATTGCTATCATGAAGGTTATCTTTTAAAAAAAAAGATTTATTGATTTATTATGCATAGTGTTTTGCCTGCATGTATGCCTACAGGCCAGAAGAGGGCGCCAGATCTCATTACAGATGGGTGTGAGCCATCACTTGGTTGCTGGGAATTAACCCCAGTCCTCTGGAAGAGCAGTCAGTGCTCTTAACCACAGAGCCATCTCTCCAGCTCCAACTATCACAAAGACTTAGCAAACTAGTGTCCACACGCTGCATGCTTATCCCCGGCCGCAGCCCCTCTTCCTCAGGGAGGGAGCAGGATCAGCGATCTCGAAAACCTGGGCTCCAACCCCAGAAGGGGCTACAGCTTAGTGCCCTAGGAGAGTGCAGCAGAGATTTGGTATGAGTTAATGTGCCAACTTCTCCGTAGTGACAGCTGCTCATCCCTCCTTCCTCTCACATACGCAGACTGTTGCATGAGAACGTGGTTTTCTCTCTCGTGTTGTGTTTCGATGATTAGGAAACTACACTGCCTGCTTGTGAGGGGCACAGCTGGGCCCTCCAGACGGCAGTCTTCCCGGCATCACAGCCATGAGTGTGTGCTCCGCACAGCTTGGCCTCTTTTTTTTTTTTTTTTTTTTTTTTTAGCCATAAGTATTTATTAAGGAAGAGGGAGAGAGAAAGAGGGATAGAGAGAAAGAGAGAGAGAAGAGATAAAAGGCACAGCTTGGCCTCTTGACAGCAGATGCCGGAATCTTCCTTTGGTTCCCACAGCTGTCGCCCAGCCTCTGGAAGGCTGTGGGTTTGGGAGGAACCAAGCGAGTGAACGTGAGGGTGACTGCAGGAAAGGCCCACGCTCACGCTTTCCTGCTCCCAGGGCCTAGAGAGGAGCAGGCACGCCAGCCTCTGCTGCTCTTCAGGAACACCAGCTCTAGAAGCGGCTCTGGTTGCGCTGTATTCATACTGTGCTCTTCCAGAAGTTTCTGTGTTGCTCTAGCCCTGTGCCGTTAGCCATGATATTCTCTGACATCCCTCGTATGAGGCTCGAAGAGTAAATTGCTTTCCTAGAATAAAGTTTGCCCTTGAGAGCTGTGTTTCCAGTAATAATGAGTCTTCCGCAGGTGCTGTTGGTGGAGGGGGTGGGGCAGGGCTCAGAGGCTCTTCTCCTCAACATCTCCCCACGGAGAGCACAACAGAGACTTCCTTGTCCTCTGAACTTCTGACACTGCTGTCATATTTATCATCTTGTTGACATTGTTGGGATTTTTAAAAATTAATTTGACTAAACCAGAATCAAGCCTTCAGATTTAATTTTGTGTCTTTAATCAATACTTATAATAGCCCTTTTTTTCCACTTTATTTTTGCATGCTGGTTCTCCCTCCCCGTTTTTGTCTTATTTTGAGCACTTAAAAGAATTTTTGAGATAGTTTGTTTATAAAGCTTTTCTTCAAAAAGCAGATTTTGTGATGAGTATGTTTCATTTTTCTGTGGCTTTGTTAGGCAAGTCCCTCAGAGTATGGCTGTAGCAAATTCTATTCCAGCTTTAAAGTCTTTCTTAGTAATGCCAGTTGAATTCTTTACTAAACAGAAAGAAACATAGATGATGTGTTAACTTGTGCTAATATCTTTAGCAGTCTCAGGAAACGATCACAGGCATATAGGAAGAAAAAGACAGCAGTTCAGCGTCAGACCAGAGGGGAGAGGGGATCGGTGAAGCGTAAACCTAACGGAAGGTCTACGCAAAACACCTTAAACCCAGATGGAAGGTCTGCACACACTGTGAAGGCTCCTCTGAGCTGTAAGGCCCTTCCTAGGTGCAAAAGCAAACTGACAATTCTTCCAAGGATATAAAATAGTTCGACCCTTCAAAACACTCCCTCAAATTTGAGAAATACTCAGATGAAACATTAAGCTTCAAATGGTTTACAAAATCTTAAAATTAATGCAAAATCTCCCAAAATAAATTTGTTAAAATGTTTCTAAGATTAATTAGAAACCCTCACCCCTACAAATGCCAATAGGATGTCAGAGAGAAAACAAAACAAAAAACAGGACACTTGACAGGGATGAAAAACTCTGAATGAAGACTTTCATTTTAAACCAATTGCTCATTAGGCCAGGTGCCCGGCAGCCTCGAGGTTGCCACTAAGTGCAGTGCGGGTTTGTGGGCTACAGAACCTACTCACAGGGTAGCTCTCCCTCCTCCCTGCTCTGATTGTTCTCAGGCAGATGGATCTTTGCCGACAAGCTATTTAAAGTCGTCTGAGACGGTGGGTGGCCTAAAAATCATAACTGAAACATTAGGTCAAGTTTCATTGGCTCACACACATCTGTCCTGTTTCAGAGAACAGCCCGTCTTCACCACGCGAGCGCACGTCTTCCAGATTGACCCCAGCACCAAGAAGAACTGGGTGCCCGCGAGCAAGCAGGCCGTCACTGTGTCCTACTTCTACGATGTCTCCAGGAACAGCTATCGGATCATCAGCGTTGATGGAGCCAAGGTACTGCCCCGCCAGACCGTCTTGACATCCTCCCTTGGTTTTGTCCAGAGCAGTATGGTACCTTTGAAAGATGGGGGGGAAGGCTGTATTCCCAACACTCTGTCTTATCCCAGAGCTTACCATAATGTCTGCGTAATCACACATCTTGCTCTTTCTTTTCTACCTAAAATCATACGAGTGAGTGAAAAATAGATTTCCCCGTTACCCCACTGTCTTCCTAATTAACATTTTAATACCCGTGCAGTGATTACATTGAGGGCCTATCGTGATCTTAATTTCTTTACAATGTCTTCAGTTTCTTGCTGTTGCAGATACTAAGCATTCCCATGTAGTGAATAACCTCAGTTGTTGATTATATACCTATTGCTTCCTTTGGACTGTTTCCTTGGGGTAGATTCCTATAGGTAATATTACAGGTCTTGCTATTAACCCTGTGTGGCCCTGTGTGCATGCATGCGGCCAGAACACTTTCCCTAAGCTTCTTTCCTGCAGCCCATGTGAGGGTGCTGGTTTATTCCACCGTGGTAATCAATGAGTATTTCCTCTAATCTGGTTCTGGTATTATTAGGCATGGGAATTGGTTTTCATTAAATAATTTGGGAGTATTTCTTTTTTTTTAAGAGTAGGATGATGTTATGTACTCCAGGCGAGATGTGAGCTAGAGGTGATCCTCCTGCCTCAGTCTCCTACATGCTGGCATGACAGGCATGTACCATCATATTTGACTTAGTATTTCTTACGGTACTTTTTGTTCCTGGTATTCCATTATTTTTGCTCCTTATCGGTATTTTTGCCGTACTATTTGAGGAAAGAGAATGAAGGAATGCCAGCAAAAGTACTCCTATGTCTTTGAAATTAAATAAACCTCTGCATTGTAGTCTGTCTGTCTGTAGTCTGTGTCCACTGTGCGAGTTATTTTTCTATGTGTCACCTGATATCCAGTGTGTTTGAAGGTAAAATCCCCTTTTTACCGTCTACACCAATCTCTATTTTTATTTTCTAGTATCTATAAAAACCAGAGTTTGTCTTCTAGTTTTGTTTTGTTGTGTGTGTGTGTGTGTGTGTGTGTGTGTGTGTGTGAACTTTTGCCAGGCAGTGGTGGCACATGGCTTTAATCCCAGCACTCAGGAGGCAGAGGCAGGCGGATCTCTGAGTTCACCGCCAGCCTGGTCTACAGAGCAGATTCCAGGACAGCCAGGGCTACACAGAGAAACCCTGTCTCAAAACAAAGAAAGAAACAGCAAAACAAAAACAAGCAACAACAAAAACCAAAAAACCAAACCAAAGAAACCCACAGCTCTTGTCATAGTCATCCCTGCAGCATCCCTGCAGCTGGCCGCTCCTGTTCTACTGCCCGTGGTCCCCTGTGGATTCTGCCTCTAGGTCAGCTTTCCTAGACAACAGGAGGTAAAGAATTGAGAGCTGAGCAGTACTGCCTCCTTTAGAAGATCCCCCAGGTAAGACGTGAGACCCGCCAGGGCTTCCACGTCTGTTTCAGGCCCCAGCTTTCCTCCCAGTGTCTCCTTTGGGCTTTCATTCAGCCCCGTGATATCTAGAGCTGAAGCTGAGTGGTCTCCTGGCCCTCTCTTTCTCTTCCAATTTCCACAGCCCTTCCTCCCTCAGCAAAGGACCCAAACTGTCCTCACTTTTTATAGCTGAGGTCCAGGTCCAGGTAGTGAGGTATACTCTGAGGAGGCGTGGCAAACGGTGCTGGCGTCCTGTCCCCACACCAGCAGGTCCTGATTTGCTGGGTTGGCTCAAGGATCACTCTGACAAGCAGAGAAGCATTTCCTGACATTTTCCAGGCAGGGACTGTGTGGCCCTTGTCATTTCAGAGAACAGCAGTCGGTCTGATGAACTTTCGATGAGACTAAGGAAATAGTTCTCCCACCCAAGCAGCTGAGATAGACCGTCGGGGACGTGGTAAGGGGTAGCCAGTAGCAAGGAACTGTGACAATGGCGGACTTGTAACAGCGCCTCGTTTGTAACGAAGGACTGCTATCCGAACGATGCCTTGATTTTATAAGTTTTATAAAATAAGTTTTAGCTTATTTTCACTTCTGGGAGGCACAGCGGGGCTGCAGCTGTAATTACCTCTTCCCTGTGCTTCTGAGCCGGAGCCTCTTGGGCTCTTTCCAGGGTGTTCTGATGGGGATGGAGAATCGGGCTGACCTGCTCGCTTTCATCTGTAGGTTCTGTCAGTACGGCTGCCATCCTCAGGTGGGTTTGCACTCGGAGTTATCCGAGGATTTACTGGACTTAGCTCTAGATAAAGCAGCGTCCTTACAGCACAGTGTGTTGGTTATTAGCGAGGCTTTTTAGGAATTTGTCAGACTGTCAGCCACTGAATCATTCTGCCTCTGCGGTTCCTGCAAACTGTGGCAGCGTGGTGGAGTCCAGGCCAGCTGAAGTGGCTCGGAGGAGTCAGATGGGTGCGGGAAAGTGAGCAGTGTGGTAATTGTAGAGTAGAGATAACTCAGGATATCCACTGAGTTAGAGAGGCACTCGGGACTGGAAACGTAGACCGGGTAGCACCACTGAAATCCAGAGACCGAGACTGAGCGTCTCAGGCTCCCTCCCGGCCGTGTCTCCTGTTACATTGTGTTCTGGAAGTCCACCTAGGGTTCCAGCTTTACCACTGCAGTGCAGAGCCTCGTCTGGCAAAGGAAGCAGAAGGCTAGGAAGTGTGGGAATGAGTTAGACTTAGTCCCTGAGTCACTACCCTTGCAGCCAGGAGCTGGGGACAGGGGCATGTCTGGTCTGAGTAGTACTAGATGTCGTTCCAACACTACCACAGCCCAGCTGGACTCTCCCTTGTCTCCACAACATCTAAGGGAACCTGCTTCCAGCTTCCACAATTAGGTGGGGGGTAGAGACAGAGCCTCAGACCACAGTAGCTATTACTACCCACCTTGTCCTTCTCTGCCCAATCTGAAGTCTGGATGTCTCGATCCCCAGCTCCTGCTCTGTCTGAATACTCTAGATTTCTTGCCTTCCTTGCTGTGGCTGCAATAATGTAGTATGCTGAGCTGATTGCTCGGCACTGTGCTGGCCTGAGGCCGCCACTTCTTCTTGGCTCTGGTCTGTAGTCTCCCCCCAACATCTCTGTGCAATCAGAAGGGCTCGTTTCTCCCGGTTTGTGAACATGCGTTGTGGTTCCATGTTCACTTAGGACTTACATCCCACAAATCCCACGAATCATACATGCAAGGCCCAGGTACCTGCCTGTGGGCTGACTCCGGCAGGGATGCACTCATGCCCTGGGGAATAATCATGACTGTCTTATCACGCCGCTTCTGCTGCGTTCTCCAGCACATGAAAATGACTGTTTTATTTAGGACCTTTGATTGGAAATGTTGATCTGAACTGGGAACCATGTCTCAGCTCATGGGCCGTACCTCGATTACCCAAGGCAGGCCTAGGTCCTGCTTCTCTTTGTTGGCCTGGACATGTCAAACCTGTGGTCTCTAACTCGTGCTTGGCATGTGTAGGCCGGCTGTGCCTCCCAGGGCACGGGATATTGCTTACTAGGAAAGCATCCTGTCTCGTCCCTATTGGATGGAGAAGATGTACTTTTGTTACAAGTTGCTAGGACAGAAAGGGACTCATTTTGAGCTAAGGCCACACCAGATGCAGTGGCTGCATGAACTCATTTGCTGGAAGAGCACAGGCTCTCATGGAGGAAGGGGCTGGAACCAGCAGCAGAGCTGCTGTTATCCTGTCCCAGGCACGGCAAGTGCCTCTTCCCTGAGGTGACCAGAGGGCCTCCCCTACCTGAGAGCACACGGGGTGCTTACTGCAGGACAATCCCGTTCCACCCTGTTCTTCACTTTCCTGAACCATGAAGACATTTCCATTCAGGCACGGTATGGCATGTGTCCCTTCCAGTGTGGCCTAAAGACATGGCCTGCTGAGAGCCCTGCTGTGTTCTACCTCAGCATTCCCCAAGCCCTGGGAGGTGATGTGGGTCCCATGTCTTTGTGTGGGACTCTTGGATACTTGTTCCCTGCATGTGAGCTTGGGAAGAGGTATACTTGGGGTGGTTTACTTGTCTCAGAGCCAAGCTACAGTGGGTAGCACCATAGACATGATGGGGGTGGAGCTGTGATGGGGTGTAGCTGTGATGGGGGTATAGCTGTGATGGGGTGTAGCTGTGATGGGGGGTGTAAGCTGTGATGATGTCAGGTCTGGCTATCCCTGTCTGGGTGTGTATTAGAAGGATAGTGAGCAAGGGCCTGGCCACTGCCAAGGGCAAGCCTGTTAACTGCTATTGGACAGATGGGGGCCACAGAGTTACTGAGCCTAATTCCCAGCTCCTTAGAGCACTGACGTGGGCCGTGGCTATCACAGTACCCACACGATTTGTGGTGAGCGTGCACAGAATGGCCGGCTCCGTGATGAAGCTTCATCCCCAGAGCACATGCTAATTGAGCCATCGCAGCTTCAGTTTCACTGTGGGTTTAGAACTCTTTGTGGACCAAGTTCATCACTGCCGTCCTTGTGAGAAGCTGCCTGCGCCTGTAGGCAGGGCTTGCCTGGCGCAGGTGCTTCTCCCAGGGACTCTGGATGACTCTCCTGCCCTTGGCTCCTGGCTATTTATGGGATCACAGGAAATCTACATTAGCAGAGACCTGAGAGGCCGTCTGTTCTACAAATATTAGCAGTGCTCACTGTGCCAAAAGTTCTGCCTGACCGTGGTGGTTCAAAGGAGAGAAGCAGCTGGAACCCTAGAATGCTTAGGGTATTCTAGGAATGGAAAGTTGTTTTCAAAAAACACAATCAGGAGTCAGTAACATGGCTCAGCAGGTAAGGGTGCTTGCTTGCCAGTCTTTGAAGTCTCAGTTTGGTCCCTGAGACCCACACGATGGAAGGCAAGAGCCAGCTCCCAAAAGTTGTCCTCTGACCTCCATAAATGCACAGTAGCGTGCATGTACTTCCTCCCCCTCTCTTTCTCTCTCTCTGTCTCTCTCTGTCTCTGTCTCTCTGTCTCTCTCTCTCTC